TATATATATATATAAATGATATTCCAATGATACACATGGTCTTCTGTGGTTGGTAGAACAGTTAAATTTAGGATATTGACTGCTATGTAATGTGATAATAAGATTCTCATCAGGGTGTAATAAAAAAATATGTCTCTTTAAATAAAACATGAAGATGTATTTTTTTTTCTCTCTCTCTAATTTTGAATCTAGAAGGTACTGTTTAATATTGGATTTATTTCTTGAGCAGATGTACTTAATGTCATCATTGCTAGTAGGGAAAGGAAAGAATTCATAGCATGAATAACAATGTGCAGCATAATATGCTTAAGCAGTTAAAGAAATTAACTGTGCAAATTTCATTCTGACATATATGTAAAAGGGAAGAGATAAAACAATGAGACAGATTGCAAAATAGTCTCATTAAATTATTAGCAAACATCCTATATCTATACATTTCCATTAGTCAGGGCTGATGGAAATGTATAGATATGGTTAAAACATTGATGTATGCAGTTTTAAAAAGTAAACCAGGTTTCTATTAATGAAATATTAATAGTTTTATTGATTTTAAAGCACACCTTGATTATATTAATCAATGGTTGTATCTGAACCATGGACATAAAGTTTGCTAATTCTAAAAGTGTTTCTGGAATAGCTATTACTGTAATGTTATTTTTTAGGTTGAACTTGTTATTTGCTCACAAAAAAAAACAAGTATTTATAACAAGTAATCAAAGCTTTTACTTCTGTATGCTGGATAAGTTAAAAAAAAATATATAAAGAGGGTGCTTGATTTTCATTTCTTTTATTTGACTCTAAGAATAATATATCGAGTCCCAGGAATTTTTAATATCTTCAGAAAAAAATGACAGTTTAGTATCTTCTTGCAGAACTTTATACCAAAGGACATGTTATAAGGTGCCAGTAAATATGGAAGATAAGATATTCGTGATCTAGTATTCATGTTTTGGTGTATTGTGCTTTTGCATAGATATGTCATGTTACTGTGGTTTAGATCAGTATTAATATGAGCAGTTTACCTGTGTATAGATTTATCTAAACTATATTGCTTATTTTACTATGATGTACCTTAACCAGTAAGACCTAGATTACTTGTTACCAATTAAGATCCGTGTTTTTATATTAAAGCATTTGAATGTTGTTAGTGACCATTAATCTGGTGACTAGGTTATTTAATATAGCCTAGCTTATGTGTTAAAATGAGAGAGAGAGAGAGAGAGTGAGTGAGTGAGTGAGTGAGTGAGTGAGTGAGTGAGTGAGTGAGTGAGTGAGAGTGCGTGTGTCTGTCTGTGGGAGAGGGAGAGTGCGCCTGTGCCTGTGTTGTGCCTGCCTGAGTGAGTGATTGAGTGAGTGAGTTAGTGAGTGAGTGAGTGAGTGAGTGAGTGAGTGAGTGAGTGAGTGAGTATGTGTGTGTATGTGTGTGTATGTGTGTGTGTGTGTGTGTGTGTGTGTGTGTGTGTGTGTGTGTGTGTGTGTGTGTGTGTGTGTGTGTGTGTGTGTGTGTGTGTGTGTGTGAGTGTGTGTGTGAGTGTGTGAGTGTGTGAGTGTGTGAGTGTGTGAGTGTGTGAGTATGTGTGTGTATGTGTGTGTATGTGTGTGTATGTGTGTGTGTGTATGTGTGAAGGCCGAGTCATTAATTACTGACTGACTGAAGTCAACTGATAAGGTAAAAGGAAAACAGTGAATCTGAAACAGAGTTCATGAAAGTCGTGTATATGTGTGTGTATATGTGTGTGTATATGTGTGTGTATATGTGTGTGTATATGTGTGTGTATATGTGTGTGTATATGTGTGTGTATATGTGTGTGTATATGTGTGTGTATATGTGTGTGTATATGTGTGTATATATGTGTGTGTGTGTGTGTGTGTGTGTGTGTGTGTGTGTGTGTGTGTGTGTGTGTGTGTGTGTGTGTGTGTGTGTGTGTGTGTGTGTGTGTGTGTGCATGTGTCTGTGTCTTTGGGTGAGAGAATGAGAGAGAATGAGAGAGAATGAGAGAGAATGAGAGAGAATGAGAGAGAATGAGAGAGAATGAGAGAGAATGAGAGAGAATGAGAGAGAATGAGAGAGAATGAGAGAGAATGAGAGAGAATGAGAGAGAATGAGAGAGAGAGAGAGAGAGAGAGAGAGAGAGAGAGAGAGAGAGAGAGAGAGAGAAAGAGAGAAAGAGAGAAAGAGAGAAAGAGAGAGAGAGAGAGAGAGAGAGAGAGAGAGAGAGAGAGAGAGAGAGAGAGAGAGAGAGAGAGAGAGAGAGAGAGAGAGAGAGAGAGAGAGAATGAATGAATGAATGTGTGTGTTTGTGCATGCATATTTGTGCAAGGATGCTAGATGGAACCCCAGTCTGTTTATCTTTTTTTCATAAAGAAAGGTAAAGTGCATTGTTTCATTAATGTTACTTCTATTAGAAGATCAAAATAAAGTTTATTGTTTTTATATTTCTATGCATTGTTGAAAAATAGCATTATTTAAGAGAATTAATTATTTAAACATTATGCAGTTGATTTTGAAGTATTCTTCATATATAGACGTGGACCATTATACAGTATAGATGTAGCACAATCATTTACCCCTTTAAAGAGTAAAAATTCTGGGTAATTGTATTGTCAGTAATTTTCCTATCTCATCCACAATGTTTATGAGAAAGAGAGAAAATCAGGGAAACACACATCAAAAGTATCAACTACCTCATTTAAAACGGTTGTGGTCAGCTCCAGTAAACCTTTGAATTTTAGGTTTGTAAACCATTTCTTCACCAAGTCACAGGCTGTAAAACTAATGTAATGAAGTATTTTATGATAGTCCTTTCAATATATTTCTTGAGTTGACTGCTACATGTTTAATTGCAAGGTTATTTAATTTGCTTGTGCTTTATCATATGCATATAACCCTGGAGAGAGGATGTAACAAAATCCAAAGAAATCAGTTGAAACACTCCACTAGCAATGTGACATAAAAAAAAAAAATATTTATATATATATAAAAATACTCTTTTGACATGGCTTTGGAATGTTTTTTAATTATGTTTAATACTTGTGTTACTCATATTGTGGTAATTTTCTTTGCATGTTTAAACTGTTTAATAGGAAATCTTATATAATAGTATAATCTACTGTTTTTAACCCATTGAATCTGGATGCTTCACTGAGATCATGTGGCCCAAAATTTGGGCATTACGCTGTCTTGAGGGGCGACTCTGACGGGTGTGTGGCTTGTAGGCCAGGCTTAATGAATATTTGTGTATGGTGAAGACTCCATGCCTCCCCTTTGCACTGTTATTTTCTCTTTCTGTAAAAGTTTAGCTTTTCTGCCATTTTTCAATGTCTATATTTGTCATTGCTTTGATTTATCCAAACTTTTTTCTTTGTACAGACTCCATATCACCTCTCTAGGTAGTCCATAACTCAGTGCAGTAATAAGAATACTTAGTAACATTTCATTATTTGTCACTAAAAAAATAAAAAAATAAAAAAAATTTGTAATACAAACTGTGCAACCAGTCACAGAGGCCAGGAACATGAGCCCAATCATGGAAATGGCGGCCTCCCTGGAGCCAGTGCTCTTCCAGTCATCACTCATGGACTGTACATTCTACACTTATTTATCAATGGAATAATGCAGAAGCCCCTTCTTAAATGCCAAATGAGTTTGATTGCCTGACAAGAGCTTTTTGCACTCGTGGCAAGTCATTCCAGTCACCTTGGCTGCTTTCAGCCAAAATGCTTATGACAGCAAGTTCATATCACCCCAGATCACGGCCAGATTTATCTATGACAGTATGTTCATGTCACCCACCCCTCAAGCCAGATTTTTTCCTGACATGATGGTTGTGTCATCCGGATCATAGGGGTTAATAGGAGGTTATACAGAATGTAAATTTTTGTTGGGAACATGTAAATCTCCATTGAAAGTTGAAATATTTTTTTCTGTATGTTTTAATTGGTAGTTTCTGATACTTATTTACTTATAGATGATTTAATAACTTAGTAACTTAGTCCATAATGCAAAATTTCCATGTTACATAGAAGAGAATGATATATCGTCCGAGTATTTTATTTTTATAATAGAATGAAGATTTATTTCACTTGACTACAGTTGCTTTTCTGAAATGAAGTGTCCAGATTGCTGACCTTGAAAAGAAGTAATTGATATAATGCTGGAGCTGTTATTCTTGTCAGTTCATTTCCTTCTTTCAACATATCTGGCCTCATTATGTCTTGTAAAATCTTACTCGGTCTCTGTTGGTTGAAGTGATGCCAAAAATTGAACGGAAAAGATTTCAAACAGAAATTGCATCATACAAGCTTCGTAGTGGAGAAGGCTTTGTATGAAAGACAAGGTGAAGAAACTGGAAACTGTATAATATTATTGCTTTTGACTGTAACTTGAGAACAAGGATGAGAAGAAAGTGATGTTATCTAAAAATATATATTTAAGGATTCTGATTAGAGTGGACTTTGCATATATTGTATTAGTTGTTTCAACTAGATAATGGTTACATACAACAGGAAAGTATACATTAACTTCTCTATCATTACCTCTAAACTCAATTAAGAAAGAGTGTTATGGAAATGTGTTGTTCATCCTGTATTATTCATTGTCCTTTTTTAGTAATAATACTGTGTTCTAGATATATAGAACTTTTATTTTAGAATGGACGCATGTTGTAGGACCTTTTAATGTCAGGATACTTTGATGTTAGAGAAGAAAGGAATGATTGTTAATTACAGATTAAATCTTATTCACCTGCATTTTTCAGACAAAAGAGTGAAGTACATGTTGTCTGGTGTTATCATGCTTTTTGCTTGACCCACTGAAAACAAGGTACTATTAGCTTGGGACCATGAAAGTGTGGCATTAGTAATTGTCTATTTTTGGTGATTTTGTAAGACTTGTATTAAAGAGTAGATTACATTTTTTAGAACTGTAGTTGGAATCATATAATATGAATAGCATTATAATGGATTTTTTTGCCTATTCAAGATTGAGATGGCTTGAATCTTGTATATAAAGAGTTATGTAAATATGATGTCTGGTTTCATATGTAAATAAGAATAATCTTTATACAGAGTGCATTGTTGTTTCATTATATACCTGTTGTCCTTAACAGCAAGATGTGACTGGCAATGATAAGTTGATAGGTCAGTGGATAATACCATTTTTTTCAGAGCTTGTTTAGTATGGATTATCATTAGTACTAAATAAAAGCCAAGATGTGCATAATATGTCTATCTTCAAATATAAAATGAGATAATGAATAAAACTGGGAGAACAGAGATGCACTGATACAGTATGATGGACAAAATACAATACTTTTTGGGAATATAGTAATGGGAGGAAATTAGGAATGAATTAGGGACTGAGGAGGGAAACATGAGGATTAAGAAAGATTCATTGACACCTAAATGAAGTATAAAAGAAAAAGGGAAGTGAAAGTCTTATTCCCTGCCTTTGGCAAATGTTTTTTTTTTATTAATTATAATGGAATATACAGTTTTATTATCAAATACTTATACATTACATAAATATAACTGCTACATATAAGAAGTATGCACTCCATGCAACATATTTTTAAAGATTGAATTTGTTTCAGTAGAAGTTACATGTTTCTAACAAATGATTTAGACTCCAGTTCCGTTAGAGATATATATTCTGGGTACATATAAATAGTCACTGGAATTACCGAGTTCATAATAATAATCTGGTTTCAGAATTTATTCAAATTAAAGTTGGTGAATACTGCACAAGCAATAAAACTATTAATTTATTAAACAGACTGTACAACACTACAAATAACACTGGTCTATAGGTCTCTTCGTTTACAGTAGCTCTTTACCTACTATCCAAGCTAACTGCAACATGGACACCTCCAGATTTTCTTTTTTTAGCATTGGCAACCCCCCCAACCCCTTGCCCGTTGTTGTCGTAGGGGGGCTTAGGAGGCGGAGACTGGGACCCAATGATGGGGAACTCCCCAACCATGGGACTCAGCCCTTGACTCAACTAATTTTGCATGGTCTTTTTTCCCCTTCCTACTTTTTCGTTTCTGTCCCTTCACCAATCCCTTCTGCTATCCACCTCCTAAGGTGTGAGAGCCGTGCTGAAAGGATGAAAGGCTGACTTTGTGCCATTCCTGAACGTCCTGAGGGAGCCATGGGTACGGTATTCCCCTGACTTTAGTTATCTAGCCCTTACCTCTCAAGGGGACCCTAAGGGGTGGACTGTTTTTATCCCCTACATAATCCAGGCTTACCATGGCCAATAATGAAAACATAATACCACTATTAGGGGCAATGAGGCTTGCCCCTTTATCAAATAGCCCCAACGATGCAAACCCTCCCGATTCCCTGACCCCAGGCTCTCCTTTGACCACGGCTCCGAACACTGCAACAACTACTCCCTCATCAATACCTACTAGTACAGTAGCCAACAACCAACCCCCAAGAGACATTTTCACTCTCCCAACATGCTCAACTTCAACACTTCTACCCCCACAACCTCCAACATCAACTACCCCATCCTCCCTTATTAATACCTTACAGCCTGATTGCCCACCTCTCCATAACACTACCTCCCTCAACACTACTCCCTCTTCATCACGCCCCCTCCCTTCTACTACCCCTATCTCTACAACAATCTTGAATACTCTCTTTAGCGCAGCCAAATGGGACCGATTTTTTGTGATCCCTCCCACACCCTTCTCTTCCAACAATTTCTCCAAAAACAAGTAGGTAAAGTCTCTTTCCGTAGCCGACCCGACCAATCACGCACATGTCTCGTCACAGTAACCTCTGAATCCTAAGCTATAGCATTAACCAAAATAACTGACCTATATGGTAACCCTATCCTTGCAGAACCCCATCCAACCCTCAATACTTGCACCGGAACTTTCAATCTCCCCAGCAAATTGCCCAATCTATGACAAAGATTGGTTAGATTGTGGAGAAGACCTACTCGCCTGTCTCACAGACTACGATGCAACATCAGTACAGTGCTACACCATTCCCCCCAGAGGTCATCGAAAGAAACCCACTAATATAGCCAAATTACCTTCCGTAGACATGACCTTCCCTTTAACGTTTACATAGGTGGAGAATCCTTCCCTGTCCGTCCATACCAACCTCCTCCACGTCAGTGCCAAAATTGTTGGCTTCTAGGACACCTAGCTAAACATTGCCGTTCCTCAGCCAGATGCCCACTATGTGCCCAACCTGGCCATACCCGATCAAACTGCTCTGCACAATCACGCACATGTGCCAACTGTGGCGGCCCCCATAATGTATTTTATAGGGGCTGTCCCACCTACAAATTTGAGTCTGAGGTAGCAACTCTCAGATTCAGACTTGGACTCACACTACGTGAAGCCAGACAGGAAGCACGTCGACGTGGTTTCTCTCTTACTCCTTACTCCAGTAATATTGCTCATTCTACCACTTCTAATCCCACCCCTCCTACATCTAACTCCCCCTCTTCTACCTCCTACCTTCCCCAGTCAAACTCTTTTGCCATCCTAAATCCAGACACTCCAATCTCTACTACAGACACTCCAATCTCCACTACAACCCCAACACCTTCCCCTCTCCCTCCTCGCACTACCCGTAACAGACAGAACAAACGTCCCTCCATCTCCCAATACCCCTCCTGATAGAACACCAACTCCCACATCTCTCCCATCTCAGACCTCTCAGTCCTTATCTCATCCTCTAGCTGCTTCCCCCTCAAATTCTCCAACGCGTACTACAATCTATATCACTAAAGTATAACTATCCTTCATTGGAATATTCGCGGTTTCCGCTCTCACAGACCCGACCTTCGCCATATCCTTTCCTCTTATAACCCATCCATTGTATGCCTTCAAGAGACCTTTCTTACACATCCACCAATTCCAATCCCCAATTATCATTTTGTCTCTTCCCCACATTCCCTTTATGTCTCGTCCATGCTTATCAATCAGACAATACCTTATGTCACACCTCCCTTTCAAACCAATGTCCCTTGCACAGTTATTCGTATCTTTCTTCATCGTTGGATCACAGTGATTTCAGTTTACTTCTCCCCTTCCCACCCCATTGACTTTGTTGCTTTCGAAAATCTAATTTCCCAACTTCAACCACCTTTCCTCATAGTCGGTGACTTTAACTGCCGCCACACTCTTTGGGGTGATTCTATCACCAACTCCCGAGGCCGATCCCTAGAGCGCTTCCTCTCCACAGCTGACCTTACTATTCTAAATTCAGATCGCCCCACACACTTTGATACACGCACGCAATCTTTTTCATGCATTGACCTCTCTCTATGCTCCCCTTCTCTTCATTTAGATTTCCACTGGTCAGTCTTAGACCACTTTCCCTATAGTGACCACTTTCCAGTTCTCCTTTCTCCTACTTCATGTGCACCACTTCCTAACTCCCCACGCTGGTGCTTTGATAGAGCCGATTGGCATACTTTCACTTCACTCTCTGCTATTCATACCCCACCATCCTTCTTCTCCATTTCAGAAATGATACAGTGTTTCACAACTACAGTCCTAAGACCCTATACCTCCAAATGTGTTCCATGGTGGAATTCTGATTGCACTAAAGCACTTCGCTTAAAACGTGCAGCCTGGAGCAGTTACCGCTACAAGAGAGGTACTTCAAATCAACTATCAGCCCTTATCTCCTTTAAAAGAGCATCTGCCTGTCTTTGTCGTACAATCCGGAATAGTAAAACAAATAGCTGGCGAAATTATGTTTCATCAATTACATCCTCTACATCTATCTCAAATGTTTGGCGCCGAATCCATAAACTATCAGGCAAACATCCCCCCCATCCTGCCCCCGTCCTCCATATTCGAGATACCCTCATTTCTGATCCTCTCCAAGTCGCTAATGAACTGGGTGAATATTTCAGCCAGGTCAGTAGTGGTTCTCACCTTTCTCCACACTTCTCTTCTATTAAGACCATCAGAGAACGCACCCCCATTACCTTCACCCCATCCTCCGATGAGTCCTATAATGCTCCATTTTCTTCCTCTGAACTCAATGCTGCCCTACAATCGTGCCGCAACACTCATGAAGGCCCTGACGATATTCACTACCGTATGCTCCGGCAACTCCCATCTCCCTCCTTATCCTTCCTATTAAAAATTTACAACCGCATATGGACATCAGGAAATATTCCTTCTAATTGGCGAGAAGCACTTATCCTTCCCTTCCTAAAACCCAATAAATTGGGTACCCTCCCTCAAGACTATCACCCCATCGCACTAACTAGCTGCTTGTGGAAACATGGGTGTCTTCATAAAGTCTTTCCTCTCCCAACGCACTTTACAGGTCAAAATTGCCTCTGCCACATCATCTTTCTTTCCCCAAATCGAAGGTGTCCCACGAGGCAGTGTGCTCAGTACCACTTTATTCCTTCTTGCTGCTAATGATATTGTCTCAGTTTTACCACCAGGAGCCCGGTCATCACTATGTGTTGATGATTTAACCATCTATGCCTCTGGCTCATCCATACCAAATCTCTACTAAATTCTTCAGTCTGCAATCTCATCAATATCTTCCTGGGCCACAAACCATGGCTTCCGCTTTTCTACCTCTAAATCTTTCTCCATCCTTTTCTCTCGCACACGTGTAGGTCCCCTACCTCCACTCTTCTTATATGGCACTCCACTCCAATATCGTTCTTCTGGCAAATTCCTAGGTATCATTTTTGACTCCAAACTGTCCTGGCGAGACCATATTCTACATATTAAAGAAAAAGCTCTCCGCCGTCTTCGAATCTTAAAAACTCTATCCCATATATCATAGGGCTCAGATCGCAAACTCTCCTTCATCTTCATGTTACTTTGATTCTCTCCACTCTTGATTATGGATGCCATATCTACTCCTCTGCCTCAACTTCTCTCTTTGCCCATCTTGATACAATCCATCACTGTGGTCTTCGCTTTGCACTAGGCGCCTTCCGCTCCTCTCCAGTTCAAAAAGGAGTTAACTGCAGGTGAATCCAGTTAAAGCGAATGAATAAAGAAATTAATGAAACTCTTCAGTTCAGCGGTAATTCATGACGATCTCTTGAATAAGTAACAATTA